TGCATTCCCTCACCTCTATGGGTTTCTTCCTTCCCAGGTTCTTGCTCCTGACTAATTGCAGATTACATCATCTATCACAAAGTTTGTTATTTGAGGAGTTAGGTGACAAGTGGGGGCTGGGAGCCCCACTTTAGCTTTTTTTTTGTGGTACTGGGGTTTGAACTTAGGGCCTCACATTTGTTAGGCAGGTGCTCTACCACTTGAGCCACTCTGACAGTCCTTTCTTTGTGTTGGATTTTTTAAAATAAATTTTTATTAGGATTATATTCATTATACAGGGGGGGATTCATAGTGACAATTCCAATTAGACTTATATTATACACTAGTTACATTGCCCCCATCATCTCTCCCTGTTACCCCCTCCCCACCCCACTTAAAGCAATTGCAAGAGGTTTCTTTGTTTTTTTTTTTTTCATATACCCTCACCTTAATGTCCTTCCTTTTTCCTCCCCCTCCACTAATACCCCCCCACACTGTACATATTTTACAGTCCTGGTTTTTGTTATTAATATTTAAGTTGATGTTCAGAGGGGTGTCTCAATGTATGCCTGATATTTTTGAGATAGTGTCTCTCAAACTATTTGCCTGGGCTGACTTTGAACCCCAGTTCTCTTGGATTTCTGCCTCCTAAGTAGCTAGGATTACAGGGGTGAGCCACTGGCGCCTGGCAACCTGGAAGTTTCTTTTTCATTTTTATTTTTTGTATATTTTAATGGGTTTCATTGTAACATTTGAGATAAGAATTCTTGTCATCCATTCTTTCTTGAGTCTTCTGGCACTTAGCATAGTTACTAATGTGCAGTTGAAACTCAGTGAATACTTATGGAATGAATGTTAAACTTGGAAAGGAGATAAAGTTTATTTTCAGAATCCTTTCAGCTCCCTACAGAGGCCCTCTCTAAGCACCCTTCCCAACCCTAAGCACCCATACCCTGTGCCACCCATCATAGAAATCCACCAGGATCTACTATTATTGGCAATGGCCCAGGCTTCCAATTTTTTTCCTTCACATCCTACCAATGCTTCCTGGTCTTGTGTCCTATCTTACTAGGGCTAGATTTTCAGAGAAACCAGTGGTTCTCAAACTTCAAAATAAATCAGAATCCTCTGGAGGACTTGTTAAAACACAAATTGCTAATGTACCCAAGGCACAACTATAATATGCTAATAAATAAATAAAAGAAAAAAACCCAAATTACTGGGCCTCAGTCCTAGAGATTCTGCTTCAGTAGGTGGGGAGAAGGGGGAGTAGCAAGTTTGCATTTCTTATAACTTCCCAGATGAGGCTGGTGCTGTTTGACAAAGACCACATTTTGAGAACCACTGGAATAAACTAATGTAAAACCAGGAGCAGCAGGTTGTGATGCACAAAGGAATCCTTAATTCATCCTGACTGAGCCCCTAAACTGAGTTTCTGATTCAATTGACACTGTCTGGATTTGGTTAATCCCAGATCCTTTTCCCTCACTTTGCCTTATCGTCCTCCTCCAACTTTTGATCTTACTTTTCAAATTGTTCTCAGGGCTTCTCCTTTTGCGACCAACTCTACTGTCCTCTTTCTCCTTTCATAAAGCAATAGTTTCAGGGCAAAGGCTTTTCCCCAGCTTTTTGCTCCATTTCACTGTCCTCTTCCCCCTTCCTGCCTCCTGCTTCTATCTTAGTAGTTAGGGTGCATGCCACCTTAACAGTTAGGGTGACCTTTCTAAAGCTTGGCTCCAATTAGAACCCATTCCTATCTAACAGGGGAAGTCATTTCCCCTCTGAGGTGGGGATTCTGGTTCCACAAACAACATTAGCATGATAATGGCAGTCACCTGCTGGCTCTAGGGAAGTTGTGGCTTGCTCCAGCTTCCTTAAGGACAGTGGAAAAACTGAAATACCTCATTTACATGCTTCCGTTTATTCCTTCATACATGAAACATGCACACATGTTCATGGCAGTGCCTGGAGAGTCCAAAAATGCCTCTTCATAAAAGGGGACCTTTTTGATCCTGTCAAGGGGACAGATAGTCAAGGAAGAAAATCCACCAACTGACCACTCATGAGACTCCTTGCCAAATCAAGCCCTCCCATCTCCTCTGTGTCTGGGAAGGCGACAGAGACCAACCATAGGGAGGCAGGGACCCAAGGAGTCTCAAACCCTCTTTGTCGAAATGATTATAATTTGTATCTCTCAGCTGTTGACCTACTCATTATATTAAGCGGGATAAGGTATGTAAAGCCCAGAACACAGCAGGCCAGAGCCTTCTCTACACATTGACACTCACACCAACACACACCACACACCAACACACATCACTGTTGTTCAAACCTTTATACATCAGTGCACACCAAAACTAAGGACACACACAAAGACTGACAAACACACCAACATCCACACACACACACTGGTATATAATTCACACTTATCCTCCTCTCCACATTCTGGCAGACACATACCAACAAATGCACATATACAACATATACAAAAAAACCATGCACACACACACACTGACACACGGACATACACACAAACATACCGACAAAACACCCTTATACATACACTGACAAATACAAATGTACACTTCCTCACACATCAACTCCAAAACGACAGAACCCCACACCCCAGGGAGATCCGGAGGCCCAGGCCCAGGGGTGGCTTGCACAGCGGCATACAGCAGGTTATTAGAGGAACCAAACTGTTGTAGGAAACTTAATTACACACTTGGTCCCAGTCTGGGAGGTCCAGCGTTTTGAAGGAAAAGGACTTGGGAGGTTCTCAGTGAGGTCCTGATAGTCTAGGGACGAGTGGCAAAGGGGGGTACACTGGTCGGGCATCAATAATTCTGTGCTAAGGTGCCCCCAGCACTGGATGGAAATGTACCTGCCTTCAGTCAGCCCAAAGCACCAAGGAACCAAGAAGCTAGGGGCAGAACAGTGGGAAGCAGTGGAGAACAGGAGGCTGAGTGGGGAGACAGGATTCCTGGGGAACCCCATAGCCTGGTGGCCTCCTCTGGCTCAGCCCTCCTGGTAGTAGCTCTAGTGCTGCTCCCCCTATAACTCCCTGTCCGGATCAGAGCTTGGCCTGGGACTGGAGATGTGGCTAGCTTTGCAAGTGTGATGCCCTGGGTTCAAACCCCAGTCCCACCAAAAAACAAAACAAAACAAAAAACAGAGCTTGGCTTGGAGTCCTTTCCCATATACTGCGCCTCAGCCTTTGCCAGGAAGACCTGTCTGTCTCCATACTGGATGACCAGCCTGGAAGAGGCCAGTCACGTCTGACTCCCCGGCCCCATCAGGTTGGGGCCCAAGCCTTACAACAGTTCCTCAAACTTAGCTCTGGTCCCACGTTGTCACTGCCGCCCCAATCTAGGGCCCAGCTAGCTGCTCGCCAGCACTCCAGAGAGCCTCAGAGACTCCATCTGCCCCTTTTCCTTGCCACAGCCACCTGCCCTGTGGGCCTGTACTGGGCTGTGATTGTGCCAAGCTCTTGTCTTTGGGCCACTTCTTAGGTATCCAGAACAATGGTGAGCACAGTAGGCACCTCCTGAATATTTAGCACTTCATGGCTGTTCCTACTGCTACCTCCTCACTAGGTCCCTTTTTTCTTCTGTCCCTGCCCATTCTTCCTCCTGTTTAGGAAACATTTTAGGCCCCACACTTGGCACTGGGGACACATTTTGAGGAGTCCTTGCTGTCAAAGTGCACAAGATACATAGCGAGCTGCTGGAAAGAGTGTGAGGAGCACTGCCAGGTGGAATCAAGTGCCAGGGAAGTTCTTCTGGCGTCAGATTCCTTCCTGCCCCTCCTCCTATGCCCCGCCCCTGGGTAGGTCCCTTCTTCCTCCCTCTCCCAGGTTCCTTCTTCTCTCATCTCCTTTCTCTTGCCTTGAGAGCCTGCAGGGTCATCTCCCATGCTCCATGGGGTCCCCTGGCAGCCAGGGCTTACCCCAGAGGTCTGCCTCCCCCATCAGGGTCCCTTTCTGAGACCAGGGATCTTACCCGTTTGAAGTGGAGTTGGAGGAGTGTTCTGCCCACTTGGGCCTTGGGCATCCCAAGTCGGCCAGGTTCAACAGGGAGCTCACGAGTGGCCAAACCCGGGATAGAGGGGAGTATGTCAAGGCTGGAGAGGTGTAAGGGCAAGGGAGGGGACAGAGAGTGGCAGTTGGCCAGGAGGTAAATGAGAGCTGGCAGGCATAGTTCTTGCCTTAGGAGGTTCTGGATCTCCCCTTTACAATCTGTAGGCCACGTTGTCCCGAGCTGAATTAGGATCGACAGGGAATCAGGGCGGCAGCACAGAGCAGCTGGTGACCTGCCCCTCACCTGCCCCTCCATCTGGCTCAAAAGAGCTGGGGACCTCAAACCCCTCCCCCCCCCTTTAAGCCCACAACACTAGAAGGGCGGATAGTCTGAGGCTCTACTCAGACTAGATCTAGACCCAGTATCTAGAGCTGGGTCCGGAGGAGAAGCGTGAGATGTGGTTGTATTAAGTACCCAGTGATGGTGACCTCGGCTCCAAGAAATTACAGCCCACAGCGCCCGAGGCTTGGGAACCCCAGGGCTGGAGGAAAGTCTCAGGACCTCTGGCCTTGGCTCCACAAGTCGTAGCTCAGTTGCCCGGCTGCAGTGCGGCTTCCCCCACCACCTCTTTCTAAGCTCCAGTGAGGAGCTGCAGGTGCCGCAGCAACCCTCTCCCAGCCTCAGCAAAGCTCCCGGGCCAAGGAGGGAGCTGGACAACAGTGGAGCATTGACACTCCTGTGGCTGGCGTTCCCATCCACACACCCTGGGTTCTAGGTGGGGAGCAAAAGAGGGTTCGGGGCGCCAAGGGGAGGGAGAGCAGGACTGCAGAGCTCCGTGGTTGAGCTGAGCGCGGGAGGGGGGAAAGGCGGGAGCTCGCGTCCAGCCTGTGGGGTCTGGGGACTCAGGGATGGAAGGGAGAGCTGGGGGGTGTGACAATTCAGCAGAGGTCGGGACGTACCACGGAGCCCGGTGGCGGGGGGGGCAGAGGACGTGGTCACTGAGGGAGCCCCCGCCCCCCTTCGCGGAGGCCTGCAGCTGGTTTGCAGGGAGAACTGGAACTGGGTTCACCAGAGGGGGAGGCGGCGCGTTAAATCCACCCCTCCCCATACCCTGCTTCCGAGAGGGTGAGCGATAGAGGGGAGGTTGGGGTTGGAGCAGCGGCGAGGGGGCCCCTCCCTTGCACCTCCCCCCATCAGACTTGGTCGCGCCCAAAGTGTAACACTTTCTCTTTGTCGGAGGAGCTCCTCTGTTTCCTGTGCAGTAGCTCCGGTTGCGGCGGCGCCCGTGGCAGCCCTGGCCGACACAGAAGCGATGGCAGCGACCGATATAGCTCGCCAGGTGGTGAGTATTGGGCTTGGGTGCCACGCCGGGGCTGGGGGCCTGGGGAGGGCGGAGGAGACTTGGCCGCCGCCACCCGGAGGAGGGCAGTGGGCAGCATCCAGGAGCTGAGGCACGCGGGACTTTTGCTCCAGGGGTCAGTGGCTCAGTCCCCTAGCATGTCCTGGAGGACGGTGGTGGCGGGTGGCGGGCGGTTGGCAAAGCCTGCGGCAGGCAGCTGAACTTGCATGGCCCGAGAGAGCTGCAGTAAGAACCATCGCCTCCTTCGCTGCAGCTGCGGCCCCGCTGCTGGGGCGTTGCCGAATGAATGGCCGCAGAAGCCCGGGCCGCTGAGTTCCCTGGATCCCTGGCTCCTATGGCTTGCGGTGCCCCTGCGCACCGCCACCCGCTGGGACTCCAGCTGGCTCCGGAAGAGGGGCGCGGGGCTGGGGTTAGCCTGGGGCAGAAGGCAGAGTAGTGAGGGGGGCGGGGAGGTGACTGGCTGGAGTAGGGTTTCTCCATATGCATTACATATGTGACTGCGTCTGTGTGTGTATCAGTGTGCGCGCGTATGGGTGCACGCGTGCGCCCTCGTGCCTTCGCGGGGCGGGCGGCCGTGGCTCCCGGGTTCTGTCTGTGACCTTACATGAGTCGGTCTGATCACCTCAACGGCGTGTGTGTCCGTGCGTTCCAATGCCTCTGTGTTTGCTTGTGCTGTGTGCTGCCCGGACCTATTTGCGCGTCTGTGTGGGGGTGCAGTTCGCCGGCCTGGGGGTGGCTGGCTGTGTATTTTGGCTTGTTTCTGAGCCGGCCGGGGGGAGGGGTGGATCTGTCTCGGATGTGTGTTCACTGTAACTGGGCTTGTGTGCCAAAACCCGTGGAGCTGGCTTCTTTCTAGGGGGACTCAGGAAAATGAGTGTGAGACTCGCAAAAGCATGCTGACTCTCTTTTTGTTGGCGACCAACTCTGGAAAAAAAAAATCTTAAATTTAAAAACTGAAGTTTTCCAGCATGGGATGTTCAGAGAAACCATACTGAAGAGACCTGAGGCTCCATGTTTGTTTTTTTAGACCAGAAGTTTGATTGTAAAGGGAGAAGTCGATTCCATTTGCCGGGGACAGTCTAGCTTTTCTCGTCATCTGGGGACCTGGGATTTTAAGAAGCCCACCAGCATCCTGAGTTGAGTCAGAAGAGTGAGGTAGAGATAGGGCAAATCCCACGACACCGAATACTACTTGATGAAAATCGCTAGACTACATAAAAATGTTATTCAACCTTATAGCTTACTTCGAGAAATAGTCCATGCAATACAATTATGGCAAACAAGAACAACAAAAAACAGCCTTTGGGTATTTGCTGTAATTGAAATTGATTTGTTTTCAAAATCTGAATCCTGAATCTGATGGTATTGTCTCTAGAGGATAGAGAAATTTATTCCATCTCCTGTCCCAGATTGGAAGGCCCAGATCATTTCTTTGGAACCTCTCAACCTCTTGTACACCTGAGCCCAGAATTCTTTATGCAGTCATGGCATACAATGATGAGGACTAGATAGGAGACAGTGCTCACTTATGATGGAATTTGGGAGAATTCTCTACCCCTCCCCTTCAGATTGGCACTTTAGTGTTTTGAGGCAGCCGGGGTGCTTTTCTATTCCTTGTTGTCTGTATTTTCGAGATGGCATAGCTTAAGTAGAGGAATTTAGTCTCCCAGATTACACTTGCTCAGTCCTTAGTGACCAAAAATGACACTAATGATTTCTTTTTTGTCAGATAATGAATTTTCATTGACTTGTCCAACCACTCTCACCAGTCTCCCTTGCCTGGATTAGGATTGCTGGGCAGATGTTGCAAAGGGGAACATTCTAGAAGGTTGTTTCACCTCAGGCACAACTCAAGCAATCCAGAGATCTCTGTTCTGAAGATGGGGGTAGGGGGTGGTTTGGGGCTATTTGATTTGCTTTGGGGGGGCTCCAGTTTGCTCTGGCTGGGTTTACCATATTGTATGCTGAAGAACATAATTGCACCCTAGATTCTGGCGCCCAAAGAGTAGCCCCCAGCACTTGAGACCTTGTTATCATGGTAAGTGAATTTCTGGGAAAACTGACGTCACTCTCCATGCCTCCCTCCCCTAAACCAGTGAAGCTCTTATTTATGTGTCATTTGTCTCTGTTCTTTGTGTCTATAAGAAGTTGTAATTCACCAAGGGAAGTGGGAATTAACTCAAGAGACCTCGGATGGCTGGTTGCTCTTGGTTTCTTCCAAAGAGCATGTTTGAGAAGAGAAGACTAGAGAATAAGCCTAAGTGTGGCTAGTTTAGGAGTTCATTTTAATAAGCTCTGAGACATGGTGCCATGCAAGTAGTGCCCTGGTGGTGGGGGTTGGTGGTGGTGGTGGCAGTGGTGGTTTGTGTGTGTGTGTGTGTGTGTGTTTGAGTGTCCTTTCCAGAGTATGTGTGTGCACGGGGGTGGGGGGTTGATTGTCCTTTCCAGAGTGTGTGTGTGTGTGTGTGTGTATTTGGGTGTCCTTTCTGGAGTCACTATGGCTAAATATCCTTAGTGATTAAACAGGCCAGGGAGTTGTTAGGCAGGGTCTATATTTGGGCATGTATGCACCTTGGAAGTTCAGTTCTGTGCATAATTCATTTCCATCCATCTGAATGGATACCACAAAGGACTCTGCATGACAGCATTAATTTCTTTACTGTATCCATGAGTATTTATTTGTTTGACTGATGTGTCCAGAACTATGGCTAACCTAACCCTTGTCAATCATACCCCCAAAAAGTCATGCAGTTCATGGCTTTTAAGCTTCTAGCCTACTTGGAGAGACAAATTGTGGACAGTGTGAGATAATTAGAGAACTATAGAAGATCCTTGGGGTGCCCTACCCCTACATCCTGCCTGTGAGGCAGCTTGGGCTGCTGTTACTATATACTCTGAGAGGTTAGGTTAGATGACTCATTCAAGGTAACCTAACAAGGTACAGTGCAGGCTCCAAAAGCTGTATTTCCTAGATCTTGTGCTGAGCTAAACTTTCTTTGGTGCTGTATCCCCAGTAGAGCTACAGACAGTAAGTGCTAGCCTCTAGAAAGCACAGTCTGGCTGATTCTTGCTTGAACCAATCCCACAATGTGAACAATGCTCCTTTCTCCAGTGGAAATCCAGGCAATGGTCAATGGTAGCTTTCCACAATCTCCATGAAAGATTTATAGGAGCTCAGTTTGCCCTACAATGTTAGCAGGGCTGTTCTGGTCTTGGGCAGTTACCTTTTTTTTTTTCTGGTTTGCTTTTTGAGACAGGATCTTGCTATGTAGCCCAGGCCGGCCTCAAACTCAGGATCCTCTTGCCTGGGTCTCCTGAGTGCTGGGAGTATAGGCCAGGATGCTTGGGACCTTTGAAGCTCTCTGCCTCAGCCATCACTACTCACTAAAAGTAACATCGAATTCCAAGGAGGGAATACAAAATTTCAGTATTCACCTGTAGCTCTACTGGGGATACAGCACCAAAGAAAGTTTACTTTGCCCTAAATATTAAAAATTGTTGGATCCAAGTCAAGAGGTGATCATGATGCAATGTTCCAACTTTTCTGTGTGTTTAGGATTTGTCAAAAAATTGGAGAAGCATTGCAGTGCCCTCCAAATGCACATGGCCCCTTCCCTCAAGGAGTTTACAATCTTAATGGTGGAGGCAGACACCAACCCCTACTTATCTGTCATCATGCAAAGTGCCTCTGAGAGCTGCTGCCTGTCACGAGAATTCATTACAACAGGACCTAATTCAGCAGTAGACCTAGGTTGTGGGTGACAGGAAGTGCTTCCTGTGGGCTTTGACTAGGAAACAAATAGGTTGAAGATAGGTGAGTTCTCACTTCTGCCACTGGTTGGGAACATTTCATTTGTTTATTCACTCCCAGTTACTTTCATTCCTTCCTTCAGCATTTATTTATTGAGCACCAACTCTGCCACACTCAGTGCCCGATGCTGGGGATATGGCGGTGACCAGGGCATGCAAGAACTCTGCCTGCTCCGAGCTCCAGGTAACAGGCAGGAATAAGCCCTATTTCCTCTTCACATTCTAAATCCTGGAAATGTGAGCATTAGCAATGTGCTTATTTACAAAACTGCATCACCGTAGAGTGACTTATCTGTGTAGTATAATGAGATTTTGATCTGCAATCATATGCGTAACGTTTACTTTGTGGAGTGTCAGCTGGGTTTGTTGACCAGTATGATCCCTCTCTTTGGGTGCTATAAGAGAACAAACCCATTGCATTAGCCTGAGCAAAACTAATTAAGGCTGGGCACAGTGGCTCAAGCCTGTAATCCTAGGTACTCAGGAAGCAGAGATCAGGAGGATCAAGGAGCCCCTTCCAAAAAAAAAGTTCTTGAGACCCCCATCTCAACAAATGGTCATGCAGCCTGCAGCATAATGCTCACCTGTCATCCCAGCTATACGGGGAAGAACAAAGAGAATCTTGGTCCAGGCCCACCTGGGCCATGTCAAAAATAACCAATGCAAAAAGGGTGGTAGAGCGGCTCAAGTGGTACAGTGCCTTCTTAGCAAGTGCAAGGCCCTGAGTGCAACCCTCAGACAGCCAAAAACAAACAAACAAATAAATAAGAAGGTAAGTCCCCTAGAAAAAGGTATTTCAAAATGAAATAGGACTGATTTCTAGACATGCCTGGGTTTCTGTATTATCAGAGTTTTTAGTTGTACGTATATTAAAATACATTCAAGATGGAAGGAGGGAAGGAAAGGAAGGGAGGAGAGAAAACGAGAAAGTCAAAGGAAAAGAAAACTATGGATAGAAATAACATGTTTCATTTAACTGTCTCAAAATGCTCCTATCTGTATGATTTCATTTTCCCCAACAGCTTCCTGCATCATTATTGTTCTCTTCACTTTATGTGTATAGAGAGACCAAGTGACTTAGTCCAAAGCATTATTGCTGGTCAGTGGATGAAACAATGGAACACCCACCACATGACACAGATTCCCTTCTTCAGCCTGCTGGCCTTACCAAG